CGCTACATAAATAATAAAATAATGTGATGGCTACTAGTGCAAATTGGTCAATTTCAGCAGGGGTGTTTGGGCTCTGCAGTGGAGTCCTTGCAGACAGTTTTGTTATAGTGGCTCGCATCTGGTGGCCTAGCAAAGGCTCCTGGATATGTCCTTTTTCCAAAGATTTGCAGGTAAGCCTGATCTCTTCAAATATTTCCAGTCAAGCAGATTCTGAAGGGATGGTACAAGTATGAGTCACACCTGCCTTATTCTTGGAAAGCTATCACACCCTCCGCTTGCTTATTCCTGCTACAAGTATTGCATTTTGCATGTTCCTCAGCCTTTGAAATTGTTACTTTCATGGTGCACTTCGGGTTAGGGAACTCATGGCTCCAATCCTCTGTCGCTGCCTGGTGTTCAGGCTTTCCATGTTTATGTATCTCCTAAATTGTTAGTCTCCAATTCTGCTGATTTTTTGCTTTGCCTTGAGGAGCTATGTAGCTTTTTTTGTACACCTGCATCCCACATCTGCTGATGTTTTGCCTTGTGGAGATATTTAGCTCTTTTGCACACCTGCATCCCCCATGCTACCCACACTTTGTTGCCCATAAAGACGAGACTACCCTTTCTCGTTATTTCAATAGGATCTTGAAGTTGGTGTTGTAGCAGCCTGATCTATCTTCATATTATAGTATTGCACACTCTTTTAGAATTGAAGCCACAACTAGCGCACCCACATTAGTTCATTCCACCAATATCCTAGGCAGCTTAGGGGTGCTGGAGGCAGCAGAGTATTCTTAAGAGTATACGCCACCCAAAATGACTGGGAGGAGGTGCAAGCAGAGCCCCACTCCCAGCTTTGCATTGTCCCATATTGAAGCACAACTAAGCAGTATTGAGACAGAGTATATTCAAGCTTCTGGTTTATGAGCTTCGTTTGTTCAGCAGGCACTGTGGGTGAAGGAAAAGAAATTTAGACCCCTACATTCGTAGAACAGGCTGAATGGGTCGAGTGGACAAATCAAACAGATTAAATAACCTCCATCTCAGTACCGACCGCCTGCACTACAGTGAGGCTAGATTAGAGGGTTTAGGGAGGTGGACACATACAATACCTGAAAGTAGGTAGAATTGGGAGCAGACTAAGATCATAGTGAGACAGGCAAATTTATAAATAAATGTCAAGAATATGGAGAGGGGGGAGGGGGGGAAGACAAGGAGCAGGGGACATAAGTAACATAAGGGGTGACACCAGAGGGGCTTGGATAGGATAGGATTCTGACAAAAATCTGAAAAAACACCTTTATAGCCAGAACGCCAGCTGGGAAAGCACCGACACACATTGGGGATTGTGGCCCAGACCAGCACGACAGATTTAGCAGACAGGCCTTTGCAGTCAAAAGATCAACCACGTGGGTGGGGCCTGGCATCCCAGTGAAGCATTTGCATGCTGATAGAGCTGATATATATATATTTATTATCGGACGCTGGAGGTCTTGATTCAGAGCACGAGGATGTCTAGCATCATATAATGGACCAAATGGCCATTTGTATTCCGGAATACACTAGAGGGAGAGTTAACCCTCAAAGGTAATTAAACTGCAATAATTACCACTGTAGGGTAAGGGACATTGCACACAGACACCTTCAATCAACTGAAGTGGTCTGGGTGCCTACAGAGTCCCTTTAACGCCTAAATGCCAGAAACAAACCGCGAGACTGCAGGGGCACAATCTATACACCAAAACCACTCCATTAAGCTATAGTTGTTTTGGTGCTTGTATTCTCTCTTTATCTCAATGAAGTTGTAAGTGTAGGTGTGTCTGGGTGTTCTTTTACCTTCAAGAGCTAAAGTGTTTTCAAAAGGTTTTAAAGGGTTTTGCTGCAGTGATTAGCACTAATTATAACCTATGCAGATAAAGCATAGCTGGAATAACTAATATTTTAAAGCTACATTTCATGTGAATTTAATAAAAACACACTAGGATACTATTAGCACATCCCAGAGAAAGGTTACAGAGAACATGAAAACATTAAGTACAACACTGGACAGAAATATTTAATTTCTTTTTTTTTTTTATGTCATTGCTACAAAAAAACAAAAACAAATGTAACTTACAAACAACTAGAACGCCTGCCTACTATTTCATACAAGGGTTTATTAACAATTCCTTTTCCAAGAAATGCCAAGCAAAACCATCAACGAGTATTTGTTGTCAACATGGAACGTACACTTAGATAGAAAACGTACTGGAGATAACGCAACTCTTGTGTGAATAAAATAATGAAAAATAGGGTAGGAATAAACAGGTAATTGTTAAGTGGCAAAGGAAATACCAAGATTGGGCATGGTCTACACCTTCTATTCTAATATCAGTCCGATTTCTTCCTGCATTAATCTTGCTCCTCCTTTTCGGTAGGGGACTTGGGACTTGTCTCTTTGGGGAGTCTGTGGTGAAGCACTTTGTGGTCCCAGCCAACAGTAGTGAAGCTTGATTGATCGAGGGGTGACCATGCCACACCAGTCACAAAATCTCTGTGAGATTGGTCCCTGAAGCTATAGGAAGGAAAAAAACAAAACAAAACTTATTAAATAGACATTAACTTTACAGGTTTGCTGAAGTAGTACACATCACTATGATGTGTGCAAAACTATGAATTGATAAGTTATTGCCTCGCTTAATGGAATCTGTAGTAAGGGTGCTTAAGTGTTGCATCTTACATTTCTGTAAAACTGGAGTCAAGTACCACCACCGAACAATCTTCGCTCACAGAGGCCAATAAAGGAGTGCTGAAGAAAGAAGAAAATAAGTTTAGTTTCAATGAATTTAAAAATAACAAAAATGGTCTACAGCAGGTACAAGGATAGAGTCTTGATGCACACATAGGTCAGCAGATATTTATTCTGTAAAGTTTGCTACTACTGTAACTAGGAATTCTGCTTAAGTACTTGCACAAATTCAGCTTTATGGATTATGTGTCAGAGGAGACGTACTCCGAAGAGTAAACTGACACCGTAATAACGCAAACAGCGCTCCAAAAAATACTGTGATCTGATACAAATAGTTTAGTAACTCCATAAGTTATTACTGCTTTGACAGATATCGACTTTTGTGAAATTGAGGAAAATGGGATCCTGTCTGTAGTGTGCCAGAACACGATAGCACATCAGCCATAGAAAACAGCTATATTGGACTGATAAATGGTAGGAGCTAAAGTCTGCAGACTGGCAAGCTTCCTTCAGAGGCTGCTCACAGTAGCTTAAGACTTAGCATAGAAACAGAATGTGGCGGCACATAAAAACATTTGACCCATCTAGTTTGCCCAATTTTCTAAATAAATACTTTCATTAGACCCTGGCCTTATCTTATAGCTAGGATAGCCTTATGCCTTTCCCACGCATGCTAAAACCCCTTCACTGTGTTAACCTCTACCACTTCAGCTGGAAGGCAATTCCATGCATCTATGGCACAGCCGCACAAAGATAAACTGTTGAGGGTGTGTATAAGTGAAAAGCACAGGTTATTCAAATTTTGAAAAAATTTTTTATTGCATAACCACAATAATTTAATTAGAGGAACTGTACCATTTAAGGTGTTTCCACAACAAAATAACCAAGATCAATTTATTTATATTAAATTTACACTGTAACCAGCTATCAGGGCAGTTTAGTCATATAGTATAATAATTTGACGCCTCTAATGTGACAGGGGAGCATGCATGCACATAAGGTGACATTGAACAATTCCTTGTTCAGGCTTGTACGCACTCACATGCAACTTTGTAAGCAAAATAGGCAAGTCCAGCTCTATTATTAAGTGCAGCTTAATAGTGATGAAAATAATGACTTATATACTGATTTTATATTTATGCTACACCTATACCTCCCCATCCCTGCCTCTTATTAAAGGGACACTCCATTCACTAAAGGAGAAAGCATACATTTAAAATAAATCATGGTAAAATCACCTCTTTGGTCCACACATTGAATAGGAAGGAAGACAATCTAGATGTAAGATGACAGTTTCTCTAGACATTTTGTGCGCAGTTTAAAAAAAAAAAATATATATATATATTTTAATTACATTCCACCCATATGTTTTACATGAGGCAATTAGCGGCAGCTAAGCTGCCGGAAGCTTCGCATTCACAAAATAGGAAACAACTGAATGAGAAACGCTTGCTTAAAAGCAATCCTCCATTAGCCATCGCTATCAAAGTGTTTATCACAATACAAGACACCAGCAGGAGAATATCTGCCCTTATTACAGTTGTTGTATGTATCCTATAACCTCCAGCTGCTCAGCATCATGAATGAGACATAGTTCCTCAAATTAAATCAGTTAATGGACCAGCACTGGCTGAGATCTCAGACACTGCTTTTCCTCCTCTCAATCTTCATCGTAGACTTCCACATTAAACTTATTTAAAATCTCATAACTTGTGTCCTCCCCTTCACACTCATCACTTAAGCAGTGTCTCTTTTTTCCCCATTACCAAATGTAATTTTATGTCTGATTCGATTATTCAACTGTGCTATGGAATTTTATTTGATATCAATGTATATCATATGTTGCTTATTTTTTTATGCCAACTATATATTTTATTTCCACGCACCGTGGGTTGATATAAATACATTACATTTATACACCTTGTATTGGGATCATTGTGTTCGGACATTTATAAAATATAAATTGAAAATAAAGACAATTTGTTTTCCCACTTTTCCCTGGCATTATCTCAATCATGCTTTAAAAGTAAGAACCACAGCCATGCAAGCCCCTTCAAAATTGCTTAATCGCCTGTATAATTGGAACCCCATGGAATTAAAAAATAAAATAAAATTAATTAATAAGAGCGTTAACATGATGCAATAGCCAGCAGAATATGTATAATAATTTGTACCTGTGCTTTGAGTACTCTAGTGCTGTGATGGCTTGGGAATGAACAGCCAGGGTCTGGGCAGAATCGGGGCTTTTCAGGTTAACACTGAAAATATTTCCATTTTCATCACCTAACACAAAACAAAGAAGCAATATGATATGGTTATCACTGGGTTGTCAATGGTCGGATGAGTTATTGTACTGTTTACACATTTTGTTAGATACGGCTTTAAATGACCACTATAGTGCCCTGAGGGTGCCCCCACCCTCAGGGTCCCCCTCCCGCCGGGCTGGATGGAGAGGAAGTGGTTAAATTTACCTCTTTCTACAGCGCCGGGCGGGGGACTCTCCTCCTCCTCCCTCTTCTTAAGTCACCGGCTAAATGCGCATGCGCGGCAAGAGCCGCACGCGCAGCCAGTCCCTAGGAAAGCATTCACAATGCTTTCCTATGGACGCTGGCGTCTTCTCACTGTGAAAATCACCGTGAGAAGTGCGGAAGCCCTCTAGCGGCTGTCAATGAGAGCCACTAGAGGCTGGATTAACCCATTTGTAAACTGCTATGTTTACAGAAAAAAGGGTTAATCCTAGCTGGACCTGGCACCCAGACCACTTCATTAAGCTGAAGTGGTCTGGGTGCCTATAGTGGTCCTTTAAGTAAGACCATATTAGGAATGAAAAAAAACAACACACTTCAACTCCAATACAAATTTTAAAGGAAAACTCCAAGCACCATTCCCACTAAAGATCTGAAACAGTTTGACATTCTCGGAGGGCACCCCTAGCTCTCGGACCACTACAGTTGGTTCTAGTGGTTATGGTGTTTAACCACACAAAATGGGTGCTCTATTCACTAAACTACAAAATGTACCACATTAAAATCCAGATTGTAAAACTCTAGCAAAAAGCAATCCTGGAAAAATTCACAGTGCTTTCAGTGTTCCTTTAACATTTAAAAGCTTGTTCTACACAATTCAACTAAAAATACTCCAGGCTGCCACCAATTTGCTTTGTTTTATTTTACTAACCCCTTTTTGAGCATGCCTTATTCATAGCAAAGTTCTAGTAATCTGCTACTTCATCAGTAAATCCTTACCCTCCCATTATTCGCTATGGGAGAAAAGTCTCTTGATTTGTTTGGACGATAGTGCTGGATGCAAATCATGTTACATCCAGCAGTAAACACAAAAGCATAACTGAATCATTGCAGTCAAGTGTGACGGGTGTGGATGGACCAGAGATGTATTTAATGTTGCAAAATAAAAAAAACATACATCTGGTGTCCTGTAATAGGTCAAGATGACCCACTCTAGATAACGTCCATTACACATCTAAAATGCCTGAAGTGTCCTTTTAACATATTAGAACACTGCAGAGGAAAAACATTACAGGTTTGTTAAACACGCAAAGGAAGCAAGACTTGGAATTCCAGGCTAATTTACAATGCCCAACAGCACAAGCAATGCCAGATGTAGGTAGGTAGTTTTTGGCAGGCATGGGAAAAATAAACAAATATACATATACACACACACACAAAAATCACAATTTGTTCCCCACCAAAACCTTTTTGGTTTTTGCTTCCCAAGCACTAACAAGCCTCAATAGCAAACCAGTAGCCAACCTCATGCTGATTATTTGCATTAACAACGAAAAGCTGTCCATGAGTGGTTTACTGGTTTTGCATCTTTTCCTAAGTTGTGTTTCAAAGCTGTTGTATACAGCAGACACAAACCCAAAGGAATCCATGTTTAAAATGGAATGAGGCAAAAATGTGATTATTTGTTAAACTAATTTGCATATACCCACCCAGAATCCTTTGCGGTAGTAACATCACGGCAGATTTGTGATTTCTGTGGGAAAAGCAAGTCTTATAGCTTGACTGGTGTGCAGATTTTTGTTTAACATTGTATTAACTAGATATCTATATCTATAAAATTGCTTATTTAATATATTTATTAAGACAACATTTGCACACACAAAAAATTAATAACATTCCAGAAACCTACCGCAAACAAAATGATCGTCCTTGTCCGGATGCCATGTAATTGAGGTAGGAAAGAGGTCAGAGGCAAAAAAGTCTGCAAATGAAGGAATACAATTGAGCATATAACATTTTACATTTTTATAACTAAGCTGCTAAAATCAAAGCCAATTAAAAATAATCCAGAGTCAATAAAGAAGTGAATTCCAAAACAGAGAAAAATAAAATAAAAAAAATTTATATTTTCACTGAAATCGGGTAGGACAGGTTACACACAGTAAGAAAGCAAACTGATTAGCTATACAGCTGCTTTTAGATCTAAAATACTATCAACAGTCTAGGAATCAGAACAGAGGACACCAACTGTTGATTCGTAAAATGCATAGTCAACCTCTGGAATCTGTATGACCATGCCAATAATAATACAGGATGATCGATTTATATTCGCTTATCTTTATAGTGATTTGTCTAATGATCCTCCTCCTCCTTACAGTAGTTGTAAGGTAAAAGATATATTTTAATTAAGGCGTATAGTGGTGTGATTTACAAGTCCGTGAGACAAAGTCATAAGGAATCATAACGAAATTGCCAACTCTCCCAAAAAATACTCACTGATCCGAGTGGCAGGCTTTGGGTTTCTTGTATCCCACAATAAAACACGACCATCCTTTAAATTAAAAAAAATATATAAATAAAATTTAAAAATAAATATAGACAAAAAAAAAAGCAAACAATGTCACATGTGGCATCATTGTACGAAGCTTTAAGATTACATTTTACCACCTATAGACTGGGACAATAAGAACACTTTTTTTTTTAATTTAAATTGCCCATAAACATACCAGCAAGGGTTACTCTAACCAAAAAACTGTTTTACTAAAAAATTTTTTAATATATTTCCTGAAAAGTTATATATTGGTTTCCTGTAAAATTATTTTTTCATGCAAATTATCTAGAACAAAAAAGTGACTCCAATGTGCCAGGACACGAACTTTGGAAAAAGCCTTTTTTGCAACATGCGTTAGTTTTGCCTGAAGGATTCCATGGCAGCATCTACAGCCATATTTACTAAAGTGAGAATCCCTAGTAAATTTCTAATTTTAGACCAATGCAATAGAAAGCTTAGCGGACAGATTTTTTCAAATTCGACTTTTTTGGCCTCAAATTTGAAATCAAAACTTTGAATTCTTCTTTAAGAGAGTTAAACAAATGAGATACCAGCAGTGAGTTGTGACAAAACCAGGCTATATAGCAAGTTTGCGGTCACCTACTGTATAGATCAAGACACTTGTTTAAGAAATGTTTTCAACAAGTTAGCTTGGAGAAATATTTTAATAACTAAAATGCAGACTGGGGCCCCCAGGTAATGGAAGATCAAGGGTCCCCCTCTCTATGCAAGTGTATTGCCCAGTATCCAAAATGACTGTATGAGAGCCGCAGAGTAATAATTAAGTAATAAGATGCAGACGTCCATAGGAAATCATTGAAATATGCTTTCCCACAGACTGATTGAATGTGCACGTGGCTCTTGCCGTGCATGCGGCGGATGACGTCGGAAGAGGGAGGAGAATCCCCAGTGCTGGAAAAATTTAAGAATTTAACCCCTTCCTCCCCCTTCAGACTGGCGAGAGTGGGACCCTGAAGGTGTATCTTATCGATCCTATAGTTGCAACTCTTTGCCTTCCAGGCACTATAGTAGTCCTTAAGTAAATTTAATGACACGCTTACGGGTGACGCGTATGAGTTGTGCATGTGTGGAGAGGCTGCCTGTGTGTGTGTGTGTGTGTGTGTGTGTGTGTGTGTGTGGGGTGGGGGTGTGTGCGTGTGTGTGTGTGGGGGGTGGGTGTGTGTGTGTGTGTGTGTGTGTGTGTGGGGGTGGGTGGGGGTGTGTGGTGTGTGTGTGTGTGGGGGTGTGTGTGTGTGTGTGAGGGTGGTGTGTGTGTGTGTGTTGTAAAGGGTCCTGTCAATTTTCCTTTCCTTCCAGAGCTTGACAAATATGGTTAGAACCTAGAAGACAGCTAAAAAAGTTAGGAGCCAGTTTTTTTTTTTTTTTAAACTAAATTTTAAGTTTATATTTTCAAAAAGAAAAATGCAATTCTTAAGGGACACTATAGACACCAGAACCATCAGTTTACCTTAGTTGTTCTGGTGTCTATAGCCTGTACCAGCAGACCTTGCAATATAAACACTGCCTTTTCACAGAAAAGGCAGTGTGTTTGCATTGCTGCCTAGTAACAGTCACTCAGATGGCCACTAGAGAGTCTATGGTTCAGCGTCTCCACGAACTGTATGGAGGTGCAGAATGTCCCCCATAAAGATGCATTAAATCAATGCATCTCTATGAGGAGAAGCTGATTGGCACATTGTTTTTCTCTGCATGCGCAACATTCTCCCTTAGCAGAAATTATTATGACTGACCAGCCACGGCAATACAGGCACGGCGTGGGGAAAAAAGGTGAGTAAAAGCAACTTTCTAGTGCAATTGGAGGGGGCAGGTACCTAAACAGACACACGTGCTCTCACACAAACAGATTTTTATTGAAATCCACTCAGGTCCTCTCTTCCTACGTGCAAGGGAGCAGTAATATAAATGTAGCTCCTGTCTGCTCCCTCACGCTCTCTGTAGCCAGAGTGATGTCATATTCTGACTCCCCCAGCATCATTAAACAGCGCGTGAGGGATCAAAGAGAAGCTGCAGGTAGATTACCACTCCCTCACATGCCGCCTTCAATGCTCCCGCAGGCAGCTGGATCCAATGCTCAATAGCACACCGGCTACAATGCTCCCATCATGCTACTGCGGGCGGCAGCCTTAAAGGGCCGACATCCCAGACGCCAGGGTAAAATTTCTAGTCGCCATGGCGCCTGTGATTTATCGAGCCCTCCAGGCACTATAACAACTTAATCAGAAGAAATCGTTATGGTGCCATGAGCAGATCCAATGTGCCAGCTTACTTTTAGGGGTTAAACCGTTCACAAATTGTCTTGAATCCATAACTGTTTAGCTCTGCCTCTTACCTTCCACTGCTCTCCAATTATTAAACACACTTGCCTTTGTTTATATTTATTATCTCTTGTTCCTTGAGCCAGATCTCAATATCTGGGTGCAGACATTTTGTTCTCCTCTACCCATGTATGATAATTTTACTGATGGATTGAGGGTAGATTTGACTGGCAACTGACACAGAACTTTGCTTTAGGCTCTGTCCATTGTAGTTTGTCAACTTGACCTCTATACATGAGGAAAAGTAGTCCCTACATTTCTTTATGCATTTTATAGAGAAAACATGAAGTGCAAATTGCAGACTTTAAAAAGACACTAAACACCAAAACCACTTCATCTTAATGTGGTTTTGTTGCCCTTAACCTGTGTCTTGTATGGCAATGTAAAAATAACACCGTCATTTTAGAGAAATAACCATGTTTTTAGGTCCAAGGGTTCTAAGAAGCATCAGTAAAAAGGAGAGTCAACACAAATTAGTTATTCTACAGAGGGTGCATAATCAAGGCCAGTGCCAATGTTGAGAATAAGGGATTTGCCTGCGACCCGGCCGGCCGTTTCCTTGTGGGCTGAGCCTGCTCCTGTCTGGAGCCACAGTGCAGGGCTCCCTGTCAGGATGGTGCCCACCTATTGTCTGCTCAGGAAGCGGGGTTTACTAAAAGCCTTGCGCCCAAGCAGAATGCACTCCTTACTGCAGGCAGGCGTACCCTTAAACCAGCCATGTCAATTAACTCTTGTATCGCCAAAACCAGAGTCCAACACATAAGAAAATGGACCAGCACACGTATTATTTTTTCAGTTGTCAGTACTACAATTAACTCGGTAACCACAAACAGAAGGGCAATGTTTTTTTTGTCATGTGATGAGTCGCATACATTAGAATGCTGATCACTAAAAAAGGATTAGCGGAGTGCTGAACCCTTTTTTTATGTTTTAGACAAAGTTCAGCAGCTATGTTAAATAATCTTGGCAAAAGACACTCCAAGCACCATGAACGCTATAGCTTATTTTATGGTGCAAGTACAGACTCTCCAGTTTATGCCAATATACTTTCTAGAAGTTTGGAAAAAAAAAAAAAAAACACCTTACAAAGCTCCATGTGTCAATCTGACAATCCCAACTGGGTCAATTTGGCTACACTGGATGCGCTACAAATAGTCAGAGCATCCATATCTGGTGAAATGTTAGATCTTGAATGCTATCATTTAACCCCCTCAGGTAAGTCTGACAAAAATATGGTCCTTAAGGACCGCGGACGTACCTTATACGTCCCCGGATAATTAGAGCGCTGGAAGCAATCAGCCGCTCTGATGGTATTGCAGCGATATCTTGATGTCAAGACATTGTGCAATACTTCTCCTTACTGCTGGGCGATCGCTTCCACTGGAGTTGCTCCACGTGGTGCCCGGCAGTCAAGAAGAGCATTGGAAGCCTGTGCTGAGTGCGTCGAAGATTATACAGAATAAAAATCGAATTAAATCAATTAACTCCCCGCCCCCTTTTCTTTTCAGAGCTA